TATACAAGGTATCTGAAATAACCCCCTAATCATACAGTGCTATTTCTTAAAAAACTAAGTCGAAAAGTCCTTTATCATTTTGCAATAGTTAACGAGATATTAATTTCTAAAGATTGCCGAATAAATGAATAAAATCAATGTAATTTTATGATATTTTTCAGTGATCCTCGTGAAATATTTTGAAGATGTTTCTTAAAGAATTCTTAAGTCTATTCTACAATGTGATTTTTGTTTCCCGTTTCTTGCTTTTTGCTATTTTTTACATCTCGTCTTTTTGCTTCTTATCCTTATTCTTATTTTTTACTTTATCGCCCGAGATAAAAATTAACGAACTTCGAAAGAAACAAGAAATACAGCAAAAAATACAATTGTCGATAAAACGATTAGTCAATAAAAAGGAAAAAAAAGATAAAAAAGTAAGAAACAAAGAGCACATTGTAGAATAAACTTTAAAGATATCTTAAAGTTATCTTACACATTTTAAATATTTTGCTCATTGGATAACCAAAAAAACATTGCGAAAATTGTAAAATAACAGAAGACTTTTCGATTCAGTCTTTTATTAAGAATAGCACTATATGATTAGTAGGCATTATTTCAATACATACCCTGTATATTATATAATAATATTATATTCAATACATACCCTGTATATTATATAATCTCAAATATCTTGTATATATACACATGTATATATGATATATAATATCAAACATATTTTTAGAAAAAATATATATCTTTTTTCTAAAATATATCTATTTTATAGTTTTTTGGAAATCTTTATAAGAATCAATCCCAAAACGACTATAGTTACGATTACGTCATAATGAATTGGCCGTTTGCAATTAAAACATATTATTTGTATGCATTTATTCAATAATATTTATCAGTATATCATTTGTATAAATAAATATTGTGCAAATAAACGCTGCGGTTGTAGAGAATAAAAAAGTGATAAGAAGTAATTTTATCAAACTTTGTAATTTATTTATTATTATATTTATTGTTTATTGTAAGTAAATATTTACTTAGTTTTTTATTTAATAGAAAGGAAATGGAGGACTTTGATTGGTTCATTTTATGCATTGTGCAAGACTGTGCTTCCGCCAGTAAATCAATTGGCCAATTACAATCGAGAACGTAAGACAATAAGCAAATAAAAATGTCTATTTACTGCTTATATTTTCTTGGTGTCTAACTAATTTAAACGGCGTTGCAATCTGTATTTATTGATCTCGCATTTTTCTTCATTCTCTTTTTCTTTTGTTTTCTCATTTGTTTATTACGTATATCATTTCGTATTTTTTTTTTACATAAACTTTTCTATCATACTTTTTTCTATGTATCTCATTTGCATTTTTAGAAAAATACATTTTTCCAAAATTGCAACTCAATCATCAGTCTCATTCTTATGCGGATCTCACACGCGCATGGAAATCTTCCGTTTCATTTTCTCGTATCCCTTCCTCTATAATCTGACCTATCTATTTTCTCGACTTCGTCCTCCTCTTCTCCGTGGGTGGAGACAAAGTGATAGTCGGGGACCAATCATACTCGTCGTTGAAGGCGTTCCTTCGACATGACACGATGAGCGATCGCACTGGAGGCTCTCTTCTTCAGACGGTTAGTAACATTCAGAGATGTGAGCGAGAAAGAGAGAGAGAGAGAGAGAGAGAGAGAGAGAGAGAGAGAGAGAGAGAGAGAGAGAGAGAGAGAAAGAAAGAAAGAAAGAGGGGAGAAAGACGTTGCTGTGTGTCGATGTGACTGGCGACATACGCGTACGAGGAACGTACGTCTTCGGGGGGATTCTCTTCTTCGTTGAACTTAGCTAATTCTCGCGCGGTCGGAGATTTTGTTCACGTGATTCCTGTTCGCGCGCGCGGATTGCCTGATTGAATCGACAAATCGAACGATCGATTGCGCTGGATCGCACGGATCATTCGCGGTGTCAACACATGCGTCGCGCCGATACGTGGCTTGCGCGTATTGGCGTTTACTGAACAGTGGATGGGTGTCAATAATCGCGGTGGTTCCGCGCTTCGTACCTGGCAGCAGACTGGGAATTACAAGCATCTGGTGTCTTCAGTTCGCGCGCGGACCTTCAACGGCGTCCAATGCGTTGATAAGACGAACGAAGGTATGCGCGGTGCGGCGACGGTACCGCAACCGCCGCCGGTGCCGACGCCGGCATCCCAGTGCATAACAACGCAGCCGGGTTACTATATTTTGCATGGCAATGGGATCCAGGGTGGCAACGACGGCACCTGTGTCATCGGCACGGTGCCGCACGGCGGCGACGGCAATCCCAATGGTAATTCCTCGGTGACGCGATACGGTCGTTTCACGCCACCCGCGTCACATCTGATGGACTTGAGTGGTCCACCGGATCATCAGCAACAACAACATCATGCTCTACCGTCCGGTTATCATCATCAGCATAACCAGGTTGCGGTAGAGTACACCGAGCTGACCCATATGATGTTCAAGAATCCGGACGAAACGCGATATCATCATCATCCTCATCATTCCCAGGATCATCATCCGGATAGTAAAATCGTGCGGGACTTTCAACTGGAGTTTGACCGGCCGCTCCACTCGACGGACAACTCGTCCGAGTTTCTGTCGGATTACAGTAGGGACCACGAGCAACAGAGTCTGTGTCTGACACCGTCTTCGCAGAGCGTGTATTCACCCAGTGGCGCTGACGAGATGGGTGCCCCCAGTTCAGTTCAATCGGTACAGGGCCAGGCGGGATCTTACCATCATGTGGATGTTACGGAGTTCAAATCGGACGCGATCGAGGAAGGGATAGTCGATCATGTCGCGAGATACGGCTGTGAACAGGCCACAGAGCTCGGCCACGTGACTGAGCCGTCGTCATCGACGACGGCAAAGGGCTACGGGAACAGAGAGGGTGGCATCAGGACTGCTGTCAGGAGGAAGAGGCGGCATAGCGGCAACAACAACAGTAATAGCAGCAGTAACGGTTGTTGCAACAGCAACGAGTCCGATAGCGAAGCCACGACAGCCTCGACGACACGGACGAAGGTGCGTCGCAAGAATGATCAGGAGATTCAGAATCAAAGGGCGATGGCGAATGTCCGTGAACGTCAACGGACGCAAAGCTTGAACGAGGCGTTCTCCGCACTTAGGAAGATTATACCGACTCTACCAAGTGACAAGCTCAGCAAAATCCAAACACTCAAGCTCGCCGCTAGGTACATCGACTTCTTGTTCCACGTGCTCAAGACCAACACCGAAAACGCCGAGTGCGGCGAGAACGCAGGTAATTTCGATGAGTGGGTGACACGTAGGTGGTGACGTGAGGATGCATGTATAGATATTTCAAGGTGTAAATCCATTCGAGAATTAAACATACGAATCGAGACAGAAGATTTGAAGGAAATGCTCGAGAAGTGTTCATTCTTTCAAAACACGTTATGTTTTGATTTGTTTCCGATCGTGTTTGCAAGCACAAATGTCGCTATCTATGAAGCAAAACGTTGGTTTAGTGCGCTCTCTCTTTTCTTCTTTTTCTCAGTCAGACATAATCGAATCGACGTCGATTGAGTAATGCTATCGATGACGATTTTATTAATTATTTCTAGATATATCCACGTAATATATTTCTCCGATGAACATCTTGAAAATGTTCCTAAGATGTCTTTTAGAGAACTGTGTTGTGTGAATATATATACCTCCAGCACAACTTCGAAATTTTCGCTCAGTTTATACCATGGGTCGTTGAAAGAAATAGCACATATTTTTATGGTTCCGGTCTACAGAAAAATCTGAAAAAATTCTTATACACTTGTGAAATCTTTAATAATAAGTTTTTAAATAAAAACTGGATTACATTTTATTTATTTTTTTATATATTGAAATTTGAATAAGAATTTTGAGAAAACATGATGTTAACTATGCCTTATAAAAATTTATTGTTAAAGTTTCATAAGTGTACAAGAATTTTTTTTAATTTATGTCTATATATGTATTATATTAGTGATCTTTTCACGTATATCGAAATACACATATATCTCTGATATACGTTCAAAATCATGATCTCTGTATAATATATGTATAATTTATATAAAGAAGGATTGCACGTGATTTATTAGTTTCTGAATACATTTATGACTGTAAAAAAGATACGACTTTTGCATTCATACAATATTTTTACAATCGGATCTATGCTCAAACTGTGTATATACTTCTTAATGATTGCGTTCATCAGCAAAAAAAGCAGCTATTATTGTAAAATTCCTTAATATGACTGATTCCTGCTTTTGATTCCTTATGGATCTAAGTGTATAAATCACAATCATAGTGAAGAATTTTGCAACAGTTAAGCAGCTTCTTCGTTGAACGTAGCCAATACTTTTATCAATCTTTATTCATCCTCCACTTCGCCATATAGAACGAAAATACGTAATGCGTAATGTTTAATATATAAATGTAATGTATAAATAAATGTAATAGAAGAGAGGTGTATGAAAGATTAAAAATAGGAGATCATTTGGTGGCCGACATATTAAGACATTGGATTATGTTTTTTCTTTTAGTACATGAAAAAAATGATTTTGCTGAAATACATAAAAATTTAGATGCAGATCTGAAAATAACTTAGTTGGACTATCAAAATAATTATGAAGAATGCTCAAGCATAATGAAAAATGTTACAAAAAAATGTTAATATGCTAGCAATTATTTTGAACGTCCAACAATTATTTTGATAGTCTAACAAAATTATTTTCAGATCTGTATCTAACTAAATTTTTACACGCAGAAAAATATTATCATTTTATTGCTCAGAAAAGTGATTACTCAATTTACTTTCTTCTTTTTACATAATACAGTTATTTTACATAACAAAGAATTTATTTTACATAACAAAGAATAATAAAATAGTCTTATCACAAATTTTGGTATAGAAAAACGTATTATTATATTAAAACAAAAATTTATTTTTTTTTTAAAGATTTTTTATAAAATTAATCAAAGTAGTAATTTTATATAATAAATAAATTGAATTTGCTTTAATTCAATCTTGATTGAAATATTAAATTCGCTAGGATTTAGAATATCTATATTTTTAATAAATTTGATACTTATGATGAACTTATGATGATACATTTATGGATATATAAACTTTTTTTGAAACAAGTAAGTATTACTTGCGTACAATATGTATTTTTCTATCTGTAGATACTTCAGCAAAACTATTTTTTCCATGTAAATATCTTGCTGTCTTGTACAAAAAGTATGCTACGCTACCGATTGCACGTTGTCACGTTGTTTAGAAAGAGGACGCTCGAGGATTGTCTCCGTCGGCACCTTCTCCGTAGGGTGGTACATGTTTATAGCGAGTCGGGTGGCTCCCAGTTAATTAAACAGACTACCGTCTCGGAGGATTTTTTCTCGTAATTTACCCGAGATCGGAACGACGAGCCCGCGACGAGCACTCATGCCGTTACTAAAGTGTCTCACTGAAGGAGCTTGCTCTCATGTATTACGCGCGTACGCGATTCACTGTTCTCATAATATTTATGGATCAGCGAGGATTAAATTCCTCGTATGGGCCGTCTGATTTTTAACGTTCGGAATAACAAACAAACGCGACATTTAACGGTTCTCCTACCGTTACTCGAAATTGTGGATACTCGAATCATCGTTCGGGACAACGTTCTATGATGACATTAACAACTTGGAAGCATAAACATGTGAAATATATGTTTCAGCAATAAAAAGGCAAAAAATTGTAATAAATCATAATAATTTATTTAAACCTGTTAATCTCTATACAGATATCTTTCTCTTACGACGAGATTATGATGAGATTTTGGTCGTGAATAATAGTCGAATAATATCATATGATACTAATATTTTCATTTCTAGCAATATTACTCTCGGTTTAATTTATTTTTTATCTTTTTTCTTAAAGCTAGAAAAAGATAAAATGTAAGTTAAATCAAAATTAAAATTAATTTATAATAGTGGTAGAAATGGGCATAAATATATTATTTTTCTTTCTTTTTTAATAACTTTTAAAATGATTTGTATTACTAACCACATACACATTCTGAATATAAATAATTACAAGGTGATGTAAAAAAGTTAATGCCCGTTTTCAAATGTAGATTAAATTTAATCTCGATTTAATTTATTTTTCATTTTTTTCCTACTTTTTTTTAGCGTATTCTGGTCATAAGTCCGAAAATTCATAAATTGAAGTTGTTTAAGTAGAGAGATATCTGTATAAGTTACAGTCTTGATCATAAGTATAAAGCATCCCTAAAAATTGACGTAAACGCTCTATCTAATAAAAAAGGAATTAAGAATCAATTATAATTTGTATTAAACCGATGATTAATACTACTATTTTGGTTCTATTTATGATAGAGTTTCAAAACCGAAAAAAATTTACAGAATATTGAAATATGTATATAAACTCTGACATATTGAAGCATTAAAATCCGCTTTGATCGAAAATAAACTTATTTCTCATAATTAAATTAAAAAAAACAGTTTTATTGAAAAATAATATTTATTTTTATAATAATTTTATTATCTTTCTTTTAGCTTTTATTAACGTCAATATCTTTTTGGAGGAATACACTGAAGGAATAAATCGAAGATATCTCAGTATATTCCTTCAAAAGGATATTGACGCTAATAAAAACTAAAAGAAAGAATAAAATTTTTAAATTATCATAAAAATAAATATTATCTGTAATTATACAGCCTTGGCTATTTGAGTGTAAAGTATATGCTTTATACTCAAATAGTCAAGGCTGTATAATTACAGATGAGCGAAGTAGAAATCGATTCGAAATAAATCGCGAACGACGGCATCTCGAATGAATGGCTGAATGATTGAAACTTTATCCGAACACGTAGTACACAAATCTTCCCCGGTTCATCCTTATCTCAGCCGAGCGACGTAAACCACCCGGTGCACGCAGAATAGCGGGCACGCACTTGTAACTCGGCGTGACTAACGATACTCAGGCTTAACGGTATTTGGTGTCGGCGTCGATTGGCTCGTCGTTCCCAGTTCTCGCAACACGAATTTTGCGAGACGGAAATATATATATATATATACTCCACACTTTCTTTTATTCAGTCTCTTCTTTTCAAAGTTCTTCTAGCGCGATACAGCCACTTCCCTTTTATTTTGTAGCGTTGGCATTATATGCAGACAGAATTATCGTAACGATCCCCTTCGGCTTCTTTCCCTTCGATTTCTTTCGTCTGCTCTTCTCCTCAGTCCTCTTATATCTCTTTGTCGAAATAAAACTTTGCCGAAAGAATGATGTGGATCTTCCCAGAAACGAAATAAATGTTGAAGAAATATAAAAAAGATAAAAAATTTTGTTATTTATAATATGGAAATCTAAACTACTGGATAAACAAGAAGATTTCCCTATCATATAAAACAAATAAGTTAATAACATTCAATAATATACGTTTTCTTTCATTTTCTCCGATTTTCTTCTTCTAAATGAAAAAATTCGTGTCAGATTGTAATTATATTATATAAATGATGATTGTATTCTTTTAATCCTCTTAAAGAAGATAATATACGATTGTTTGTGTATTGAATAACGAGAGACGAAAAATATCTGTTTCAGAGAAGGGCACTCGGAGTACGATTTTGGCTACGAAGGAGATCGCAGCGTCGCCGAGTAATTACATGGCACACGAGAGACTGTCGTACGCGTTTAGCGTCTGGAGAATGGAAGGCGATTGGAGCTCTAATACGTAGGCTATAGACTATAAGGTTAGGATAATTACGAATAAAAATTTAGCGAGGTAAGATGGTGAGAAACCGGGAACATTCTTGAATCTAATTTGAGAATATTTTGTTCCTCTTGAAAGAAAGGATGTATACTCTATTCCTGTATGCTTGCGAACACACGCGCACACACAATTAAATACGGAATGTTCTAGAAATTGTAATACAACAAGGAAATTATTCTTCTGTAAAAGTAAGTCGAAAACATAGAGTAAACGCCACAATCTGTTAGGATTCACTAAATCTGACTACATTTTTATTTTTATGGTTACGTTCCTTCATTTATTGTTAGTATTGGAAACAAAAGTTCGTAACGCTAAGAACTTTAAAATTCAAGCAATTAAAATAAAGGAAATTTAAATTAAGAAAAAAAAGTCGGCGACTCGATCTCATTTAAGAAAAATCTACGATCATCTCGAATGAAATTTAAATCGAATTATCGGTGGAAATTGAACAAGAGGCACTTACCAATCAGCATCAATGGTCGTCTTCTTCACGGGAAAAAAATCGATGATATTAGTTTGCTTTCCATTTACACCGATTCTCAGATATTTCTCACTTATGATGTCATAATTCAGTTGCGCGTTTCTTTTGCATTTTGATAAGTAAAATTTAATCGAGTTTTTGCCTACAATCTGCACAAGATCGAGACTGTGTGCTTTAGTGATTCTCGTAAACTTACTTTAAAAGAGAAGTTCGAATCTGTGTTGTTATATGATAATTTTTTACCAACATAAGCAGATCATGACGTCATTAATCTGAGTATGAAATACTCAATTCACTTTAGACTTAGTTTCACTTCTGTGCAAAATGGAAAGCAACTATTTAATGAAATATGAATGATAAGATAGAACATTTTAAAGCTTAAAATTTGAACTTTTAAAAGGTCACTATTATTTTTTAATTTCTGTGAGTTTAATAATTTTTGCATATAGAAACCTATGAATTGAACAAAGTGGAAAATTTTATTCTTACTTTGTGATTCTGTCACGTACTTAAATCTTGCGAAAATTTTTAACGTTTTAACGTGAAAACTTAAAGTTTTCTCTATAAAATTGTTTTTTTATATTCCTAAGATTTTTTTATTGCTGTTATTCGCAGATTAAATAAAAGAAACATTTTGGCTTTAGTTACTTACAACTCCATTAAAAATCACGCGTGCATGTATTACAATTAAAAAAATAGATTTTTAAAGCTGAAATTTTACTCTATCGAATCTATATTATATAATTGCCAATTAAAAATTATATAATATAATTGTCAATTATATAATTGCCAATAAAAAAAAATATGTAGACATAATACAAATTAAATAGCGCTATGAACTTTTGTTCATGACTTGAAAATCTACCAGTATACATTATGTGCATTATAGATTTTCAACATCAGTAAATACAATGAATATCAAAACACAGTTTGTATGTCTGGATTTGATATATTAAAATAAGTTACAAATATTTATTAATTGAAAATTTCATTAATTGAAAAATTATTGAAAATATCGATAAGAAAAAAATTGTATTTATATTTTCGATTCGTTTTGAAGAGATGAAGAAAACTTTCTTCCTACACAATTTCCAGAACATCTTGTATATTTTTGTATTTTTTTAAGTTCATTGTCTCTTGTCAGAGACATGGTGACCTCTTCTGTCACTGATATGTAAATGATATAAAAATATTAATTGTTAATATAAAAATTGTGTGCGTATGTGTAGATATGTATATATTATAAATTTATTTTTTTATGCCAAAGCATGTAAAACATATTACAATTTACATTAAGTAAATTATTTTTACTAATGAATTTTCACCAATGAATTTTTATCGAAGAATTTTTACCAAAGAATTTTTACCAAATGAAAATGATATACCGAATATTTAATACTGTAATTGTAAGATATTTTTATTATACACGGAATTATTGAAAAATTTTAAACAAAGGTTTCACAGCTGCGAGGAAATATACGAAATAAATTCTTTACATAGAAGGTGTTTATTATAAAATATTTACATCGTCGATGTATTGTTTATAAACATCTTCTATTCACTCTTATAGCTACATGAACGATTCAATCGTATCATTAAAAGTAATGGAACAAAGTGCACTAAAGTGCATGATTCAATTGCTTTTTTACGATTAACAATAAGTAGCAATGCTAATAAAAAAAAGTATTTCTTCGTCGGAATCTATACTGCAAATAAATTTCTGGCGTTATAAAACTATGTACATTCACTAATATCGACTTTAGTTCATATTCTGTAACTTTTAATGATGATATCGTTATAATAAGTCCGTTCACGTTGCTTGAAATCTCAAAAAATTTCTTTATTTAAAATGAGATAAATATATATTCGGACATTAAAGAGAGAGAAAACGAAGATGCTAAATGAAAATTGCAAGCAACGTAAAAGAGCTATTGTCACTGCGCAGATTTTATAAATGATAAAAAAGTTGTGCAATGACGATATAATAATGATATCATTATTATCAGACAAATTAAGACTTAAGACAGAACAGTGGTCTTATAATCTCGCTACTTACACAAGTGAAACGGTTGAGTCTCCGTGTAACTTTTATGAAAGTATTAGAATAAGAGTAACAATCAATAGTTTATTTTACGAGATAAAATAAAAAAAAAAGTTAAAAATTTTTGAAAAAAGTAATAAAAAGTTACGAGAAATTTTATATTTTTTCATTTTGTCTTTTTTAACTATTTTGAGATATAAAATGCAATCTCATAAAATATTCATTTTTTTACGACCTAATTTGATGCTTATTTACATACAGAATAATAAGATAAATTAGGTGATGTAAACAAAATACATAATTGTTTAAAAAAATGTATATAGATACATAATTATAAATTTCAAATATATCTGCATAAAGATATTGAAAAAGGAAAAATGAATAATTTACAATATACTTTATATTTTCCTTCCGAAACTGTGAAACTTTTATTCAAAATATTTTCACGTTTATTCCACACATAATAAAATTATCTATTTCAAATCATCAAAATCCAATGAGCCATCATCAAAAATACCGCGTACGATTAAAATGTCCCTGCAGCATTACACTCCCCCAAACTCTCGCTTAGTTTCTTTTTACGGGATCCATTATTTTCAGAATGAAGCTTTACAATACGAAGCACGGTAGATCCGAGGCACTCTGCGATTCCTGTGTAAATTGAAAACAATTTGAGAAAGAGATGAAACTCGAACGCTCGCTCGTTAATCCATTTTGCCGTACAGCTTGATTTAAAGAAAGGAAATTGATCCGTGCCAAGGGTGCGATTTGAAGATCAGAAGAGCCAATTCTCGACGGAATGATCTCGCACGCGATGGATTATTGTCTCGCGGATTGATCTTGCGACCTGCGCAAGGTAATAACACGCACGGCGCATCTCTTTCCGGCGCGGCCTTTGAAACCCAATTCACGACAGTTAATTCTGTCCCGGCTGATTCCCGGCGACGCGGCATCGCTCGCTTGCTCACTCGCGGTAGCATAAGCCAATAATTCATGTCTTCTCGTCGGACTATTAACAGTGCGACAACTCGGACGCCGATACGGCCGACGGTGGCGGCCGTAAAAGCACGCGCTTATTAGCCTACGCTATGCGTTACGCATTTGCATCAATCAGCGAAATTACATCTTGTAATCTCCCCACCTTCCGTTTTCTCCTCTTTGGAATATTCGATAATCTCCAACTACTATTAAGCTGTGATCAGACTAGAGATTGAGATTGAGATCGCTGCAAATTTATGTATATAAAAAGTGACTATAATATTGATTGGTTTTCCGTGTAGAAATAATACACTATCTTTTGCATTAAAAAATAGATACATATTTTAAATAATAATAGTGTCCTTTTTATACGGAAAATTGATCATATATACTGTACTCACTTTTTACATACTTGGATTTGCAGTGATTGGAATTTAATTAATCAGAAGAAAGAAAACTAGTCTCAAATTTAGTGACTTTTGCTTTGATTGATTAAATTCCAATCCAACTTCAATTTCTCGTTTAATCACGGCTTCAAGTCTATTTTACAATTGCGTAAGTATAATAAGTGGTTGTTATAAGTGTAGTTATAAGAATTGACCAATCACAATCGAATATTCTTCTCGTATTCGGCTGTGATTGGTGAATTCTTAGAACTACGCTTATGCAATTGTATAGGCTTGATGCAAGCAACTTGGGCCAAACTTCTTTTCCCGAATCCGCAGAACGAAGCCGTTGATTTTGCTCTCGGAACAATTTTGTTCGCGACGATGGACCGGTCGATCATCGTCGAGATTCCCCCGCGTCCATTTTCCGTTTTGACTACCTCTCGAGAGCGCGTTGCAGCCCGTTAACGGCGGATTTACGAGCGTTTACCCGGTCTGTCCAAACAATCTCTGCGCCGCGATTTATCGAGTCTCATAAGCTTGCCCTCACGAGCGCTCTCGCCGCGAATTTTCGCCGATAAACCGTCTCGAGTAAACCTCGCGACTGAACGCCACGAGTATCTCTCGTTTTATTCGGACATAAAATATTTTAAATTATATTCCAATAATCCGGGGCGAAATGCAACTACTTCCAATGCATAAGATTAAGAAAATCTTCAGACTTTATCGATATCTTTATCTTATGATGAAAATATACTTTGAACGGATATATCTCCTTAAATAAATTTTCATTGAAAAAGTGGACATTTCACGAATAATTGCCATACTGAGAAAAAAATGTTTATTCGACTAAATTAATTTAGTTTATTATTTCTTTCGTTGGAGAATGTATATATTTAAGTCAAATGTAACATGTTCGATTTAAATACATACATTATTCATTGAAAGAAATAAAGATGAATTAAAAATTTAGTGGAATGAACAATTTTTTGGTCAGTGCGTGTTTGTGCTCGTCGATGAGATGCCAATCGCACATCCATGGCGATTTAATAATCGCCGGACCGTTCCTTAAAGAAATAGGAAAGAAGAATTAACGAGCATTTCGGCGTCCATCGGTCGGGCACAATATTATTTTTTTCTCTCGAGATGACAGTCGGGGCTCCCTCGTCGCATAACGCATATAAAACAACCGCGGCGTGGCTCCGGTACTCGCGCGGCCGCACCGTG